TTGGTTCTAAAAACTATCCGTAAATCCTTCTGATGAATATTGAGTGCTATTTCAAATGTTCTGATATGTGTCATAGTTTGCATAACATTTGGCATATCTGCAAGCTTTCAAATAGCTGTGCCTCTATGAGGTTTAGCTTTGGGTGGAAAAGGAGGGGCATTTGACAGGTGAGACATATGGGATGGAGCAGCCTCATTTCCTTTTATTTCAGCAACATTAATTATCTAAATTGACAGCCTCTATTCCTGCTTTTGGCTTTCAGGTAAATTGGCACCCCCACGTGGCACAGGGCAGCCACTGAAACTCCTGGAATTGTAGGAAACAATCTTAACAAGTTCTTTACATACCTTTTTATATCTTGTTGCAAATCTCTGCCAAATTATACAATAAAGCTGTTGTGATCACTTTTATATCTGATAAAATTCATTCAAATTAGTTTTTTAAAAACCCTACAAAATTATCAGTTCTGAGAAAACACAAATGGGCCTATGTAGCTGTATCTTGGCTTCACTCATAAAAAAACAAAAATCAGGACTGGTAGCACCCCCTTTTCAGACCAACAAATTTTATGATAAGGCATAAGCTTTTGTGAACTACAGTTCACTTCATCAGATGCCTGGAATACCTATACTGATGCAGGATTTAAAGGTCTCAAAAGCTTATCCCTTTTAATAAAACTTGTTATCTGAAAAGGTGCTACCTGTGATGGAGGACTTGGATGAGGAGTTCAAGGTCATGGGGAGAAGCATCTCCTTAGCCTGCAGCCTGAGTGTGTGAAAGCAAAGAGGATGAGACTGGCACCACCCTAAGGAATTTGTAGTGTTTAGTTGCAGACTTCGGGAGTTAGAGTTAGTCTAACAAGATTCTGTCTAGCAGGTGTAAGCTAATAAAGTAACTAAGCAAATCCAGAACTGTCTCATGGAGTTTCTTGGGCTGAACCTGACACTACCAGATTCCTTCTGATTTGTGGCTACCATAGACCTACATGGCTCTCTCCTACAATATCATCAATAAGCAGTGCAGTAACCGGTGTTTAACTCTTCTGCTATCCTTTCTATCTAAATTACAGCATTCTATGTTTGTTTGGTCTAGAATGCAAGGTCTCAGTTTCTGAAACAACAGACTTACATTTTATTTATTATTTTAGATAGTCATATTTATTTAAAAATTGATAAATTCTCTAGGCATCAGATGATGGGCGCTCAGCTCTTTCCCAATAGTTATATGTACCTTTGAAGGAAACAATAAATATAGCAACAGATCGGTTTGATATACATTATTTTCAAATCACTTGGAAAAGGCTACTTCTAGGTTGGATGGGATATTGTACTTCCATGTTAGCCTGAAAAAAAGCACAGCTGCTCTAAGAAGTGAAAAAAAAATCAGGCTCTTGTGGAAACCTAAAAAAAAAGGCTAGCTGCTTTCATGATTAGCAGAGTCCTGCTCTGCCTGTGTGCGCAGTCCAAATCAAACCATTTTGAATCTTTTTTCAAACCATGCACAGCCCTATTATTTTAACACTGTGAAAACAAGAAAGATGCAATGCATATGTGAAATTGAGGGCAAGGACGGATGGCAGAGGTGTTGAGTAAAATCCTATTGCAGCCTGGAATAAAAGTAGGTTAGAGGGCTGTTAATTGCTGACACCTTCAACAGGCTGTTACTACTGACATGACAGCCTGCACCCCCTGTTGGATCCAACACTTCAAAAAATCAGTGCTTGCCTTCAACATGTTTCCTCTCCAGGGGTTGCCTGCAGCACGGTAGGGCCAGCTCAACCTAGCTGGAGATGCTCCCCTTGTTGGCTTGGGATGATCTAGATGTGTTTGCTTGAATCATTCAGAGCTCAGATCTTCCAAGTGTTCTCAATATGCCACACCTTTTGCCTTGCGCTTGGGATTAAACAGGGCTTTACGTTCCATGTTCTTTATTCTGCCATAGAGAATAATAGAAACTTTTTTAAAAGCCCCATGCTCCCTCATTTTTCAGCCGAGGGACAAAAATGTTAATGGAACAAATATTCCAATGGAATATTTTAATACTAATGCTGCCTACCATCCAGCCTATGAAAAATTGCCCAAGAGGATGAGGGAAAAAAATACCAGCAAGCATGTAAAAAGTGTGTGTAGCTGTTGTTTCCTTGGTTTTTTATAAAAATGTTTTACATTTTCAAAATATTATCCCTTTAGTCATTTCTTCCATAGGTTGGGCCATACTAGCATTTGCATGAACTACCACTCTGATATTATTTTCTGGCTCTGGGATGAAACATGAGGAAGGGCTTATTTTGGGTTCTAATTGTTCTTGATGGTGGACTACTCAGGTTGTTTCCAATTTTGTTCTCTCAGCCCTCTCCAAAAGAGCCAACAGAACATTCTGAAGGGAATGTTTTATCCCAACCGTGGAACATTTTTTTTTAAAAAAAATTGTGCATTCTCCATTTGGTTAGATAATGCTTCTATAGACAATTCTGACTCAAATTTGCTCACTTGTCTAGTGCAGTGATGAACACCTTTAATGACTGCTCAATTTTGGTTGAAGGGCCACAGTGTACGGGGGTGATACAAATGGGACTTGGCAGCACTGTGTAATCCACAGGGGCAAGGTTTGAGATTTCTGTTGTTACTTTATTAGAGGCAGTGAGTGGGCTGTTTTGTAAATTTGAATTATACAAAATCTAATTCAGCTCTTATACTATTGTTTCCCTCCTCAGAATGGCAGGATCCCATGTTGTCAATTCTGGCAATTGTGCCACCAAAACTTTGAGGGAATGCTGGGGCTACACAGAAGGGATTTTAGAACCATATATTGGTTACCTCCAGTTTAGAGCAAATAGTGAAATGCTCTTCTGTAGGAGCTTTAACTCACCTTAATTTCATCTGCAGAGACTGGTGTGCGAAAAAGCACCACATGAATGCCATGAAAGTCAAGAAAAAGGGCAATTCTGCTTCCATGCTGTAGAACAAAGGCTACAGTAAAGCACCTCAGTTATTGTTTGTTTAGATAACAAATGTTTGCATAATAATTTGCTCAATTTGTAGTGTAGGTGTGTTCCTCTCTTCTATCAAAACTCTTTCTTGCTCTCTACAATATGGCCATCTGCTGGATCTTGATAAGTATTGTAATTCCACAAAAACAGAAGTATTTGTTAGATCAGGTCAAGTTCCTTTCAGTCCAGAATTTGTGTTACACAAAGGCTAGCTAGCTACATTTAGGAAGTCCACAAGCATAGACAAGGAGGTGATAGCCTTCTTCCACTGTTGTGACCTGGCACCTCGTATTTAAGGTAAGCTGCTTGTGATTGAAGAGATAAGAGACAGCAACCTTTAGGACTGTAGCCATTCATATCCCTGTTCTCTTTTAAATTGGCAGGTATCACTAGGTCAGCAGCAGATTTTGTGTTTTATCTATGTGATGTGTAAAGAAGTATTTCCATTTATTAGACCTGAATCTCTTCACATGTAGGGGTGATCCACATAACTAGCCTGTCCCAGTATGAATAGGGGTTGTTGATCATTTCTCAACGACAAGAATGTTTCAACCCAGCTCCCGTCCACTGAGAAGGCAATCTCCTCCCACCCTTAATCCTTTCCTGCTACTTGTTGAAAGTAGTGTCTTCAGACTTGTGCTGGCTAAAGCAGTGTGGTCCAGTTCACCTGCTGAATTTCATTTTGTTATAGACAAACCCTTCCACTTCAATTGGCTATTGTATGCTGTTGGCAAGAACACCTCCTCCCTTCTGGTTATTGAACCAGAAGCTGTCCTTCATTAAAAAAAAAGTTCACCAGTAGAATGATTAACGATTGGGCTTTTTTAAAATCAGTACAGTGATAGAACAATGAAATGGTGGACTTTTTTTTTTCCCATGGTGACATTGACAAAAGTTCTATGACTTTTCCAGTGGTAAGAGAAATATTTTGTTTTTTTTCTTCTTTCTTTTGGACCAATCCACTGATGGACACACTAGACAGGAAGGTGTCATGACAAGGCAGAGTCAATGGAGCTGGCTCATACAAACAGTCTATTAATGGAAACCTGATGTCCTCAAAGACCCTTCTGTGAAAGTAAAGCGGTAGGTGCTTGCTTTGCCAACACAAATGAGACGGTGAAAGAAGCAGGGGAACCCACCAGGGACTGTGGTAAATGTGGTCCAGACTAAACATCATTATGGCTGAAGTGGAGAAAGTGCTGGAATCCAGATAGGGATTTCTTAAATCAGCTTCATTTCCAGCTGGTTTACATGCAGGAGTTGAGCAGCTTAAGGCTGCAGTTCAGAAAGCCCCTTAGATTTAGTGGATGACGTAAAACATTCATACTCTCATAATTTTATAGTTCTCTATCATGTCTCTGTCTCCTTTTGCTCTTAGCAAAACAAAAACAAATAAATTACATGCTGGGATTTTTCCTTGTAGGGAAGCGGCTCTGGTCCCCAAATAATTTGGTTGCCTTAAAAAGTTTTCAGTAATCCAGTACATATATTTTTTAGATCTTTTGACCAGAGCTCTACTCAGAATTCCAGATAAGGTTACACCATAAAAGGGCATTACTATTTTAGTAGTCTTCAATTCCCTTCCTATTGATCTCTGACACAGAATTAGCCTTTTCTACAGCAGTGAAATATTAAATATTTTCATTGAGATAATAATTATGACTCGAGGAATCCATTTCTTGATGATTCATTGCCAGATTAGATCCATGTTACTTGGGAGGGGGCATAGAGATCCACCAAAATGCTTATTTTGGAATTTTTCACAAACTTTTAATTTTTTTTTAATTTTAGCTTTACGGACAATTTGGTAACATCAGCAAATTTCTTTTCCTTACTGTTCACCTCTGTTCCAGAGAATTTATAAACCACTTAAAAAGTACCAGTTCCAGGACTGATCATTGGAAGTCCCACATGGTACATCTTAGAAGGGGAAAACCACGGAGAACTCACAATCGCACAGAATACATCAATTACATAGGCTTATTGAATCAAAGCTTGAATACAGTTGTCCCTTTAATACATGTCTTAATTCCAGCACAACTAATTAGAGGAACACATCACTGATCAAAATGATTTTTCCAAGTAATATAAGTAGAGAGATTATATAAATTAATAATCATATGGTTACCAAAAGTAGTTTGCAGCTTGTTGATGCAGATAGATTTCCCAATGTAGAAGACAGTGAGAGAAGTAGCAGGTAAAAAGCAGCAAATAAAATAGCTAGCTATACAATACAGAAGCTCTTGGACTCTACATTCACACCCTTACTTCCAGCTTACAGGGTTCCTCTTTGTCTCCCATTTCATAACCTAAAAGTGTTGGATTCTGACCAGCTGGTTTTCATCAGTTTTACATTGGAATACTGTTATAATTTTAAAACACAATTTGGGGAGTTCTTAATTATAGAAGTTCTGGGTCTTGATTCTTGGTATTTTTATCCATTTAGTCATACTGTGATTTTCTCTGGTCTTCAGTACAACATTGTTTTAGTCCATGCACCTCTGCATTTAGATGGATTGTATGGACTTCATTAGACTCAGTTTTCATCATACAGTTAATTAAGCTTATCATCCTTCATGATACTAGTAAAGTTTATTTGTTGGGTGAACCCACAAAGAGGCTACTTCCAGCTGTCCATGGTATTACCAGCATTAATCAAAATAATGGTGTGACAGGCTGTGACACCAGTCATACAGGCATCTTGGATATTTGCAAGGGACTGACTTGACGTCATTGCTAGCACTGCAAGTCTTGTCCTTGAGCATACAACCAATGCAACCATTCTGTGGCAGCTTATCTATGACCAAATGTCTGCCTGTGTAATCCAAGAGAGGGGGCAAACTCATCTGCTCTCTTGCATTTTAATGGAAGAGAGAGATCTCCAACAGGGATGTGGAAGTTCCAGAACTTTAAAAACTTCATGTTAAGCAGTCACTATTTCATAGTTTTTGGAAAACCAAGGTGCTTTGACTCACTCCATGTGTCCTTTGTGTAGTCTGAAACTGAGAAAGGTAAGTTTTTTCATTTACATATATTATACAGAATATATATGTATTTAAAAATTGGGCAATTTTAGCTTTTTTTTAATCCCTCAAAATAGAATTCATTGATTCAATAAAATGAAATTAAAATAAAAAGGTATATCTTATTTGGGGACACCCATCTGGTGTAATTTGTGTAATGCAACTGGAAAGAATACATACTTTTTCTTTCATGAGTCTAATTTGAAAGTGGTTTTTATAGGTCATTAAATATATAAGAGTATGAAATTTTCAGTGATTCTGAAGCAGATTTTGCATATTGAATAAATAAAAAAAACATGTAAAATTACCATATTTGTTCTTATTCTTCAGCAGCTTTAGCAATATTCTGTCCCTAAAATGAGGATTATTTTGAAGCATTAGTCAACTGATTAATTGATTCAAAAGACTGGTGTGACAGAGATCCAGGGTTGGGAGAAATAACCATCCTTTTGCATATTTTCCTGTTCTCTGTAGTAGATGAAAGAAGCTTCCTGACTCCCAATTCAGTGTGATGTGGACAAGGCATTTATGACCGGCTGGGAAAATAGACTTTAGGTGTTAGAGAGTAATAAACCTTTGTAACA